GAGAGAGAGAGAGAGAGAGAGAGAGAGAGAGAGAGAGAGAGAGAGACGGGTCATCGCTTTCTCCAGAAATTCCCAATCTCCCCGACAGAGCCCCTTCGTTTTTCTATTTTCCTTTCTTCTTTATCATCAATATTATCATTATTGCATTTTAATTTCTTTACTACTGTAGTAAGAGGTATCTTTAGTAACGCATTGTAGCCATTAGTTGTCGTAGTTGATTGTATAAGAGTTCTTCTTCCCTTTAGCTCTGTATTTCGTTCTCTCTATACATACGTAGTTACGTTGCCGCAGTCTGAAGCGCACATTCTGTTCCTCTCATCTCCTCTTGCGTCGCTGTGCTTAGCAAAAACATACATATGTGTTGTTGTTGTTGTGTAGTAGCTTGCGTTCTCGGATTTCGACGAAACCACCATCCACCCTGCCAACCGCCAACAATAAGAAACCAACCACCTCCATTCACCTCTTCCCCTCGCTTCTTCTCCGACCTCTCACCTACACCCGAGTGCCGCACACGACCGTTTTAGGCTCGCGTTGGCATTATTCACCCTCCCTCTCACCTCTCGTCACCTCCACACATCTATAGTATTAATATATTTTGTTGGATGGGTCGCCGGAAGTTCCACGGCTATTCACCGCGCGACTCCATGCATGTTTACTATTATTATATATTATTTTTTTATTAATATTATTGTATTATTATTGTATTATTATTATTATTACTACTTTTATTATTATTAATGTATTGCGGCTTTCGATGCGATTTCCGTTCATCGACGCGATACGTGATCGTACGCTCCCCCGGAATTTAGCGAGGGGAAAAAGGCTAGCTGGCACGTCCTTCTAACGGCTCCATTACTTCATCATGGAGACTCGCGAATTACGCCCCCTCGGATCCCTCGGTCGCCGATCGCCGCCGTTCACGCAAGAAAACGCTAGCTAGGCGCTCGCAGCGCCGGAAGTTTCGGAAAGTCCCTCTGGTCGGTCCGAGACTTCCGGACCCCCGCGTTCGCCGTCTCATCCGCTCAGTCACGGAAAAAAAGTCTTACGCCAGTTGAACGATACGACGGATTTTACGCAATGGATGAATCTTTGATTGAGATCTTTTTTCTTTTTTATTAACTTGATTTTCCGTCGCTCAATCGGACGAACGGTCGTAGCGGAACGTTCATTCAGCCGACCTCGCGGATATTTCTTTTCAAACGAAAGTGACGGACTTTTAAGCAAGTGAGCAGTTGGCGAATCGCAATTGAAATTGTGGTTTCTTAACGGCTGACCTTTCGTGATCCTCGATTGAATGAGCGTTTCGCCGTGTTACGAACGCTCCAACATTTTGGAACTATTCTCGTGATCGGCCACCGTCGAGAATCCTGAGGCAATCCGCAGCCATCGCTGTTTCCCGATTGCTTGATTCGGTAGTCAAAATTTAATCATATGTAAATCCATGTAATGAGCTTTAGCGGGACTCTAATCCGAACGTCTTGAATTTCTTGAATTTCTTGAATTTTTGAATCGACCAGTACGAATTTATAGCGTTACTATATTATATAATATGCGAAAAAAACACGAGTTATATAGTTTAAGAATCTTGTTTTTTTTTCCTTTTTTTCATAACCCATTGTAATCTCTTTATCGATAACACGTGATTTTAGATCTAAGAAGGAAGTGTTTTTGGTTCAATCGGAAGTTGATAGACACACTCGAGTTTCAAGGGGAGTGAGACAGCTCCTCGTAATCGACACTCGCGAATTCGATTTCGAGCCGACAATTCCGCGCGCGATCAACGCGAAATCATACCACTCGCAAGATCCAAAAATGCGCGCAAACGGCCTCATTGAATTATGAATCTCTGCAATCTTGATGCGAATTGCTGTTGAGGACTACCGAACCAAGGTGATCGTCGCGGAGTCCGTGTCCTCGTTCGTCCCGAGTGTCATCCGCGAGCGTCTTCCACGATCTTGCTCTGTCGCAATGGTCAAAATTGTAGTCGCTGACTGGCGTCTACTCGCACGCTGTCGAATGCGAGTCGACCTTTGCACGTCGCGTACTTCAGAGAAATTCTACGGGACGTTTCCCGGTTGGCATTGCGTTTTCGTCACGAGGACGAACAAGGACGACGGAGATTCCGCCAGTATCGTGTGTGTATGAAAAGAAACAAGTCAGAGAAATCGGGATCATCTCGTCGATCACTTGCCGTATCTCTTCTCACGGCGATTCCGTTTCGTTCCCAGCCCGACGACTCGACGGAATTTTCGGGCAAATTCGTTTCATCTTGCCGACGAGTCGTTTCTACACTTGTAATTACTAATGACGCGCGTGTGCGCCT